TTTGATAAATTCACGTGTAAAAAGTGAAATGGCAAATGCTTGTTAACCATCTAAATTAAATGAATATTTCATCAAACTGAACAAATAAAGCCATACAGCTTCTCGCGCAGTGAAAACAACTTCGTAGGAGGGAAAAAAATGTCTTTAAATGATGCAAGAACTTGCATTCAACCTAAGTCTGACACTCTACTCTAATCTATCGTCAGAACAGCATTCTTCTTGCGAGAAACGATCGAAGCCTCATTTTATAAACTACATGTATTAAATTTTGATTTCAAAAAAATTCTCGAACAACAATTTACAATTAAATAAAAACCAAAAGCTGCTCTATTCATTGAATCGTGAAATGTCATTGATTTTCCAATTTGGTCTCTATTAATATTACGAAATAGTCTTATGAAACAGGGCGCGAAACGTTTCTTGAATTGCTAGAGCAGGGTGTCCAGCAGATTCAATGAAAAAAATTCCCTGACTTTTGCAGATTTTCCAGAAATTAATTTTTTCCTGACTTTTTTGTATTACTTTTTCCAAATATATAATTTGCATATATCTGTACGATAAATCAATTAAATCATGAAATCCTTGATATATTTTTGTCAACAATGAAACAAAAATTTAAATTAATTATACAATCTGCATTATGTACGATAATTAAAACAAACATGTCACTATAAACTATTTAAATAATCGCCTTTTTTATTTATATTATATTAAATTTTTTAGTTTTGTCTCTATCAAACACATTGAAATAAAATAAAATCGATTTTTTACAACACAAAAAATGAGTGTGCTGAGAGTCAAGAAAAAGTCTATATTTATTTAATACAAAATTTCAAATTATTGAGACAAATATAGAATAACGTGAAAAAAATCCTGATAAAAATATAGTAAAATTTCCTGACTTTTCCTGATAATTCCAGATTGATAAAATTCCCTGACAATACCCGGTTTTCCAGATTTCCCTGACCGCTAGACACCCTGTAGATACAGGCGACACAGTGCCACGTGGCAGGCTAACGAGTGATGATGATAATGATGATGATAATGAACATTGATGACGTGATAGGAGATATCACAAGTATATAAATGAATGAGATATTTACCTCGGGACGATGGCATATATTGTATTGGCTTGGCTCTTATTGTTAGCGATCTAGCGCGGCAGCACAACTACGTCTATACATTTACATTCCGGCTACTTTTGACTTTGGACTCCTAATAATACCCAGGATCGTGGAATGTTGGGCCCCGATCGCCGCCGTTTCCGATGCAAGCTTCTCGTGTAAAGATAATTTACTATCCCTACGAAGCTGCAGCACGGGTTCAGCTCCATTCCTAATATATTTACACGATAGTTTGCGACCGACGACGAGCTTCGGTATAACCTCGTAAATCTCGCTATTTACATCGACATTCTATTAATCGATCCAATCAACGATCCTCGAACGAGATTATCCATTGACGTTTGACGAAGTAAAATTAACAGAACACTGAAAAAGAGAATTATTAAATTAACAAATATTTATCTCAATACCGCCATTTATTTCAGATAAATAAATATTTATTTGTTTCGAAAAAGATTTTCTCATATCAAATAAATATTTTTCACAACAAATCAGTATTATTAGTTTCAAATAAATGATTTATTTGGCAGTATATTGAAATAAATACTTATTCGAATTCAATAAATTTTTTTTTCAGCGTTGCGACAGCAATTTTAATTGATTTGCGATTCAAAAAGATAAATAAAAAAAAAAACTCTCAAATACAGTTAAATTAATATAAAAATTATACATCAAATATGTAGATAAGATCCGCCAGGAAATGTTCATTCACTGATCGATAATAGAAAACTCGGACCGTTATTTTGGGACGAAATCACTATACAGGAGTCACAAATCGAATATTCAAAATCGACGCCGGAGAGACCGATTGTGCAAACAGATTGTCAGATTGCGTTATTTATCTCCACTTCTCCCGATTAGCCTTATCGTCGCGCGCGAGTCCCGCACAGACGTCACTGAATCTTCGCTTCGATTGCGAGGATCGATGGCTCCGAGCGTCGAACACGAGTGTCTCTCTCGCAGCATCCCTCGATTGCGACCGCGTGTATATGTGTGTGCGGTCGCGATCTAACGTTACCCTCCTACCCCTCCTCTTGCACCCCCTCTCGCGAACCGGACGGGAGAGATTCGCGATCCTCCGGGGATCCGAGACGGAATCCCGAGGGAGAGACGTCTCGGTCCAGGAAGCCGCGCGTCGCTTCGATCGCCGGTCCGAAACTGAATGTGGCGCGGTTCGGGCTACTAAGGTGGCTCGAAACGTAGTCGGGAGCCACCCCTCGTTCTCTCTCTCTCTCTCTCTCTCTCACCGAGGGGATGCAGAACCCCCAGAACGGGAGAGAGGGAGCAGACGTCGCTACGACGGTTTCTCTGGGATTCACATCGGGCATGTTCGGGGCTTCTGCGCACTAGTGCCCCAGTAACACACCCCCGTGCACACAGAATAGGGAAACCTCGAGTGTCGTGCGAGCGCAAACAAGTCGCGTCATTCTCTCGATTCCCCGAGATTTTCTCGACCCAGATGAGTCGCCATCTCTCAATCTTTCCTAATTGAAATCCCGCAGCAGCGCGTGATAATCTAGCTAAAATATAATTTTCAAGTAAAAATATATATATTTTCATATAATGACGTGGATATGCTGAAATATTTATCAGCCTTATCTCGTTTCTCTATCTCAAACACAAAGAATTATTGTTAAAAAATTATTCGTCCAAATACAATTTTGAAGTAAAAATATATATTTTCGTATAATGATATATATATATATATATATATATATATATATATATATATAATGTGAATATATGAAATATTGATCAGCTCTTTATCTCAAACACGACGAATAATTGTTCAAAAATTATTCGTCGAAGTAAAATTTTGAAGTAAAAATATGTATTTTCATATGATGATTCTAGTCTTATAAATTAAATTTCTCGACGCGTATTATTTTTCAACTACATTCTAATTTTTTTTCTCAACATTTTCATTTATAATTGCAATGCTTCGACGAATCTTTACTCGAGAGTCGCGCGTTTCAGGTCTGTTTAATACTGATACGAGAATTTGCATGAGGATCAGAGCCTACACTAATGGAGACCTAGCATTATTGTCGAGTCGCAAGAAATACAGTCTGCTGGGATTTCAAATAAACGTGCGCTCGTGTGTCTGCTTGGGTCGTTTTAAACGTCTGAACACTTGTAACGACATTGGAAATGATTAAAATAAGATGCGCTGCGCATCCTTTCTTGCCGCGCCAGTTTTTCAGCGAAATAAACAAAGACAAGTATACGGAGAAATTTTCGTAATTTAATTCTGTCAGACTTTAGGAAGAACAATCATTTGCCATATTAATTTGACTACTAATTGATAAAAAAAAAAACTGGTCTAATTTTATTAATATCGCTTGAAGACTTTAATCGAGGAAACACGTGAATCTTATATGTCTTTTATTAGTGTCAAATGTAAAATGTGTGTACAAGTGTTACAAACGTCAGACGAGTATGCCGCCACATAAAATCGTATCTACTAGAGATTTGGTATACTTTCAGCACACGTTCACGTCACCAATAAACCCGGACAGTTATATACCGTGTAACTCTATATTGGAAAATGATTAATAATACTTGAATGTGTAAACGGGGGATTGTACAGCTGAAAACTGTACTGTCAATAACGTAGTTCTATCGGCAAAACGTCAAACTCAGAATCTATATAACGTTTGCTCGTATTACATTATAAACCTTTGATTTTTTGTTCAAATAATTATTTAGGAACCTCTGCACATTCTATATTCGACAATCTATATATATATATATATCACAAAATGTATTTTACAATCACTCTTGATCCTTTTGGCGGATTTAAACCATTTACAAATGTTTACTTACCCCAATTGCATACGATTCTGTACTCATATAAACAACTTCATAAAAATAATCATATACAATTAATAGAGATATATAATATAAAAAATTATTAATATAAATTTCTATATTTATTTTTATCGTAAAATCGCATTATGAATTTGAAGAGCGAAAATCTATCTCGTATCGTCATTTCAAGCTATTCAAGGGGATGGAACTTAAAATTTTGCGTAAAGAAACCAATCCGCGAACAACATCGATTGTCATTACTGGAGTCTAACACCCTCGAACAATTTTGAGACCCCAGAAAGTCGACCCTGACATTATACTATCTGATTTCGAGACCGCAGAGGGTTGTTTTACCACGAATCGCTCTTAATAATTGAGTATACTATCTTGATTGCTTCATGGCAATCAATTTTACACCCTATGTTTACTCAACTGTCCATTAAATTTGTACGTGAAAAGATACACATGTTATATTTTTAATATTTAATATTTCAATATAAAAACTCGAAATATAAAAATATTTGAATTGCAGAGGTGGAAAAGATATCTTGTATCTCAAAAAAGTCTTTTATTTATAATATATATATATATAAATTATACAAAAATTCTAGATAAAAACTTCTTAAAATCAAAATAAAAATACTACACTAGAACCAACAAGTAATGATTTTATATCTTCTGCAATTCATGTGTCAGAAGAATTAAATATTTGTCGCGATTCTTTTTTGGGGCAGATATATACCTATATATATATATATATATATATATATATATATATATATATATGACAAAGTTAAGAGCGATCATGTCAATAAAATCAACGATTTATTTAATTAGACATTGCAGATAAAAAACTACTCTATATATACTGCACAAAAATTAATTATATATATATATGTATGAAAACCTATATTTCTCATGCTTGCGGCGAAAGATTTACGCTAAAAGCAGCGCGCGACAGCTCGAAAACGAAGATATTATCCTACTTAGGTAACAATTGCTAAAGCTACGGACACAAACTCCAGTCGAACTCTTGCATCGCACAGCTCAACAGTTCTTACTCACCGCGCTAGTGTCATCATGGTGTCACTCGATCGCGCTTGTAGGATTCTCTCTTGCTCGGACGGATTCGTGGACGGTTTCAGCGCGAGTTTCAAGTGAAACGGCACAGAAGAGAGGAAAACAGAGAGGAGGAGCGCGAGAGGGAGACTTTTATATCTACGAAGAGATTACGAAGTCGGTCCTCCTTGGCTGCTGGATCTTCTCGTGCTCTTCTCGGGGGATCACGAACGTTCGCCCCAATCACAATAATAGGAGTAGTAAATCGGGAAAAGGCACAAGAGAGAAGGACGGAGCTGATTCTCGTTCGAACTCGGGATCGAGAGGAAATAAGAAAATTTTTAAAAAAACGGGACTTTCTCGAAAAAAGATCCGAACGTGATCTTGGATCTCGGTAAGGCAATTTCGTGGCTAGATCGATAATAATGTAATCGACGCGGAGGGAAAATAAGCTCGTTGAAATTACGTTCGTCGCGCGAACGCCGGCGAATTTTTAATGGTCGGGAGCGAAAAAACGGGAATAACAAGGAAAATCCGATCTCGAAAAAAATATTCGTAAAAAAATGAAGCAACAACCTCGAAGAGAGGACGATTTATTGTCACGATCTGGACGGCGATTTTAAGGCACGAGACAGTTTCGGAGCGCGACAGCCGTGCGCTACGTCATGATGCACCACCGATGCACTACCGATTATGAAATTAACGGAAGCAAAGGCGACGTGAGTTCCGGTGACTTTTCGATTCTTTTTTTTTCAAAATAACTGCGAAAAATGATGTAACGTCAAAAACAATTGCAAGGAAAAACCGCAACTGTATTTTCGGAAAATTGCACGTAAAACCGCACGAAAATAATTTCCGAAAAAAATATCACGGTAAACTACACGGTTTTATGCGGCGGAAATAATAACAGGAACTTTCTTTAAAAAATCCTAAATGTCACTGGGAGTCGAAACGAAAACGGAAGTTTGTTTTACTCGAGAAACGTTATAGAAATCGACCGATGTCGCTTATACACGAAAGCCGGAACAATCGTCGAGATCTTTTTCACTGCGAGGCAAAGTAGAAAAGGTCGGTCGCCGATCAGACTCTACCTTCGCGAGAACTCTCAAACACAAACAACGAAAAAAAAAAAAAAAAAAAAAAAAAAAAAAAAGAAGAAGACGAGGACTATAAATAACGGGGACGCGCGCGATAAGAACCAATTAAAAGCGAACCGTTCAAAGGAAGCTGGAGAGTAAACGAAAGAAAAAAGGGAAAATTTGCCGAGAGATCGGAAAACGCGCGAAGCGGAATTTGGAAATGGAAGTCGTCGGGTTTCCGAACGGCGAAAAGGGATGGGAGAAGAGAGAGAGTGCGAGGGCGAGGATGTTACCCCGACGGCTGTCGCCAAAGAAGTGATAGGTCTGCGGCCTTGCAAGCGCGGTACCCGAGGACCGAGGGTGACGAAAAGGGAACCAGCGTCGGCGCCGAGTGCGCAGACGCGAGGGTTCACCCGCGAGCGAGAACGTCGACGATTGGCGGCGATTGTTCGCCGTTAGCCCTCTCCCTCGCGTTCCGCCAGGGGGTGAGAGTCGCCCCTACCCCCATATACGGGATAAGATTGCGCGCGACCCCCTCCGAAATTCGAGTGTCGTATTGCGCTATGTTCGAAACTCGCTGGCCCTTTCGCGCGCGCGATGTGTGTTTGCGCCGCGACTTTACGCCAAGATCCAGCCGGGGTACACAACGGGGCGAATTTCGGCGGAGTAAATTGCAGCAATCGAGAGGGTGACACCGAATTTATTGGACGATTCCTGCGCGCGGACGAGATTGTAATTAGTCTAACGATGACGCGCCGAAGGACTCTGCGCTTGGGGGTGTGTCTATATAGCGTTATTTATTAACTAATAAAAATATTTATGAAATATATGAAGATGTTATTAAATAAAAAATATTTATTGACTAATTGTGACGAGTGGATTGTCAATTTAATAAGACGGCTGATTATTGAAGTATTTATAATGCATGTCAAGCAGAAGCTTGAGACGGAGATAAGATAAAAATTTAATTCTCCGCAAAGAAATTAAGAGTTTAAGAGAGAATTCATTTTACCGCATAGTTGTCATTCTTGAAAATAAAAATAAAGATTTTTATATCTTTTTTTTTTTTCAAAATAGATACACATTTTTATAGATTTTATATTTTCTATTTTTTTCAGTTTCTATCTTTAAAAAATGGAATAAAATAAAAATGATACTAGCTATTTTCCACGATATGTAACCTTTTTGTTTTCTTTCACATAACACATTACAAAAATTAAGTTTTCCATATGCAAAGATTTATTTACGTCATTCTGACTGACATATGTATATCTATCATTTAAATTATTAAAATGAATTATTCAAAAAGAGGCGGATGCGTTACAAGAAATTTTCTTTTTTAGATCTCATTATCATTTCTTGTCATTCTTCATTGTACACGTTATCTAGGATAATATTGTTATGTTTATCTTCATGTTAAATATAGCAATATTATCTTTGATAACAAGTACAATGAGGAATGAAAAGAAATGATAATGCGAGTCTGAACAGAAAAATACAAGATAATCACGAAAAAATGTATGTAATCGACATTATAATTGCTATTATGTCAGTTTAAATTCCCAAAAATTATATGTGCTTTTAATTCTCGAGATTTTCTAAGTAAATCTATATAAATCTTCCAAGTATAAATTTTCATCGTAAATATATATATATATATATATAAACTTTCGAAAAATCTCAGGTCAATCTGTCTGAATTAAAATAATTGAGAAAAAAATATTTCAGAATCAAATAGAACAATCTAGAGAATTATACACCTACATGTTGTACAATTGATCGTTCCATAAAGTCTCATTAGCGAATCAAAATTGTAAGAGCATTCATTCAAATATCTCTTCACAATTGAAAAATTTCTGTTAAGTTTAACAGATATGACATGTCTCAAACGGTCCACAGAAATGTTTGTGTTAATTTAACATAATATGTTAAATAGAATCCCGGAGAATACTGTGTTAATATTTTATTACAAAATAAATGCAAAACTTTGAGTAATTTAAAATAAATTTTGTGTATTAACATAATTTTAAAAATTAATTTTAGATTTTATCACCCCCACTTATATTATAAAATAAAAAATCAACATTTTTTTCCCGTTTTTAACAGATAAGTCACTAATAAAACAGACCATATTCATTGTGTAAAATTAAAAAATTTATACACATTGTGTTATTTTTGCAGTCTTCTTTCAGTTGTTTTAATAATTTAATATTTAAGCTTGATTAACACAACAGCAAAATGTTAAACACATGTATATGTGTGTGTGTTAAATATTTACCACAAAAATTTTAACGGAGACCGTCTTTAACAACAAAACATACAATAATTAAAAAAAAAAAAATGTGATCGCAGCGTGAAAAAAACGCGGTGTAAGATCGGGTCCGATAATTTTCTTAGACGCGGATTACGAACTATACAAAAGATTCGAAGCAAACCCACCCCTGCGGCGGAACGGAGACGCGAAGGGATGATAATGCGAGTCTGCAGGCAGGAGGTCTCCTACGGGGATGGGGAGTGTCACTCAGGAGCACGACGTGTAAGAGAATGGTCACCGTCCCGGGGGGTGAATTGAGATGTACAGGCAATTTATGCAGCGAAAGAGGAGATGAGAGAGAGAGAGAGAGAGAGCCCACTTTCGTCCGGAAGTCAGCGCTGCTGATCATAAACCGCCTGCAAAACATCGCTGTGCTTTTTTCCTCCTGGGGAACAAAAAAATCCAACAGCCGAATTTTGCGCGCCTTTTTCCAGCTGATGGGATACTATATATCTCCGTCGCGGCGATTCCGTATCGTCAATTTACAATTTGATGATCCCGAAAAGTGCTCATTCTCTGTTGTTCTCGATCAGGACATGTTAATATTGTACGAAAAATGCAAATGACAGGTATGATTTTGCAATTCAGTGAATTGAAGTCAATAAAATTTTACAATACATGATTTCGTTACAGGGCGACTTTTACAGAGTTCTTTAAAATATAACATAGCAAGCTATTGTTTTTGTGCAAACAAATATATAGAGGTATAAATATTACTTTATAAAAACGTGTGTCGGGTTATTAGAATAAAATTATATACAATACCGAAAGAAAATTGGGGAAAAATGTAATATAACAGTCAAAATAATTCACACCGTAAAGGATTTAAAAAAAAGAATGGAAAGCAAGGTACTTACTTTTCAATTTTTTCGCGTCCGATATTTCTGAGACGCGAGAATAAATTCGCATTAGTGTATTAATTAAAATTTATTTGCTTTAAAAATTGACATTTACGGGAAGTCTCTAAAAGAGTATCGACGCGTGTTTTCTTGTTTCAGCAATTACGACGGAGGAAATGACGAAAAGCGAGCATCAACGGGGGATGGAAAACAGAAGATGGCTTTCGTTCGGAATGAATTAAGGATCCCCAAAGTATGCTTCTGCTTTTCTTTTTGTTCGTCATCTCGTGCCCCTTTTCTCTCTCTCTCCGGCCATCAACCCTTATCGTGGTAGCGTCAATCACTCTCCTCCATACACGATGAAACTTATCGTTCGATTAATCGGCCTGACAATGCGCCTGTCGATTCGAGTTTCCCTCTCGTTCTCTTCTGCCCCACGAATTCGCGAGCGTGTGGTCAGTCCCCGAAAATGCAGCACTCGTCTGACAACGATTTACGGCCGGAAAAGTTTTATGGCTGCCAATTATACAGTGGAGAATTCTCTCTCGTGAAAATTATATAGCGAGTGAAAACGTAAACTGTTTAGAGAGTTGCTATAAATACCTTAATAGAATTAAAGTACAGTGTCAAATAAAAAAAAAAAGAGTCAAGATGCACGATTCAACAATGCGAAAAATATTTATATAAATAAATAATATTCGCAATTTAATATCGCGTTGAAATATTGTAATTTGCAAAAATCGATGTATCCCCCAAAAAGTTGGGATTTATCTAACTTTTGATAGTATATGTGCAGAGTATAATAAAATAGAGACAAAATGTGCTATTTGAAAATATATGTACGAAAAGATTACGCTACATTTGCTGTATACATATGTAGAGAAAGGTATAAAATGGCTGCAAAAGTTATGATCAAAAGTGGCAACGAATGTCATTCGTTCAACTTGTCATATAAATCTACCGCGCAAGTAGAACAAGTGTTGTCGGACTCGGTGCTTGTTTGCAGCTCGCAGTGCGAGTTTCAATGTGTAGACAGCTGTAAGTTCGGCGCCAAAATGTCTGGACCATAACATTTCGCTGTCCATCGCACGAGCCATCGATGCTCGTATTACTCCGAATATGTATAGATATGTAGGAATATATATATTCGAATATATATTCCGAAACGTCCTGGATAAAGAATATTCTCGCGTCGCATAATTTTACACTTAATCATGTAACGGAATTTGCATCCGAACGGATTATGTCATGCATCACTTCGAAATTTTAAAAGGAACGTAATTTCTTCGAATTTTACACGCGGAATAGAAATTTTTGTTTCCTTGCCCCCGTTAAAATTTTTGTATTTAACACATTCATGTGTTAATTTAACATATTACTGTTATGTTAATTGAACTTAAACTGGTTTATTAAAACAACTGAAAACGATGTATACAAATAACACAATGTGCATCTATTTTTAATTTTACACATTAAATATATTCTGTTTTATTACTGACAAAGTTTAGCTGCTAAATTTTACAGAAAAAAAAACGTTGATTTTTTATTAATATAAGTGGAGATAATAAATGTTAATTTTATACAAAATTTATTTTAAAATTACTCAACGTTTTACATTTATTTTGTGTTTTAATATTAACACAATAATTGTGCCTCCATTTAAACAGATCCATATTATGTTAAATTAACACAAAAATTTATGTAGACATATCTATTAAATTTAACAAAAATGGGATTATCAGAATTTTCTAATACGAAAAAGAAGAAAAAAATCAAAAATCACAGAAATTATAAAAAGAATTTCTTAAGATGGGAAGAACACGTATTTCGCTTTCGGGCCTTTGCTTCTCCTTATGCTAAAGTCTTGTTAC